GTTCTTCTCTAAAGAATTTTGTGAACATAAGTTCCTTGGTGTGGAGTTGTTTTATAAAGGTTATATTGTCTGTAGCAACCAATCACATTCTTTTAAGATATTTTCTTCTTAAAAGAATCTTAATTTGGGGTATTAATATATACAATGTTCATTCTTCCTTTACACCCAATGCACCCAGCACTCACACACGCACACATCTTACATACATACTTCTTTTGTATATAAAGCATGAATAAAGGACAGATATAAAATGTGGTCTCGTCTATAGCTGAACAAATGTTTGTGATCTGTTCACAGCTTATTTCCTCATATGTACTCGAGGGCATACATTAATTTTAAAAGTCAAGAGGACATCATGTTGTTTAGAGATCGTTTTGATGGCTATGTGTTCATCGATCACAGAGGTGAGATGCTTTGATTTTGTTTTTGTGTCCGTATGCTTATAATTTGGTCTCTTATTACAGTGGGGTTGTGTAATGGATTGTGTTTTCTGTGACAGGTCAGGAATATCCGGCAGTTGTGGAATTTGCACCTTTTCAAAAAGTGGCTAAAAAGAAAAGCAAGAAAAAGGATTCCAAGATTGGCACTATAGAGGAAGGTATGAATGTGCTTAGTTATAAGGGATCAGTACAACCACCGGTTTATTCCATCACTAATAAAGGAATCACGGTGAAGTCTAGTACACATGTCCACATTAATGGAAATGCAGAGTTTCATGATTTAGCTAAAGAGTTCAGTTTTTGTAAGTGCAAAATTCACACATTTAGCGGAACGGAATTTGCAGTCATTGATTCTGGGTTTTTTTTCTATGGGCCTGCTCACATGTGGGATGTGATCCGATGTTTAAGGGGCAATTTTATAAAGCAGCAAATCAGACTTTCACCAAACATTCACTGCAGGTAAATCTCCCGGGCGCATGTGTTTTAAATCATAGTAATTGATTTGTTACCGGTGACTGATTGGTGAAATTGATTTTCACTGCTTTCTTAATATGTCCCTAAGCGTCTGGTAAGGAAAATCTGTTGCTCAATAATGCAAATGGAAGCCATTGTTCATACACATTCAAGTTCAAGACCAGTTTTAGCTTGGTATTGCTGTTCTTTAATTTGGATGCTGCAAGCAACATTTGGCAGGTGTTGAAGCTTCTGAAACCAACGCCAGAAGCCTGTGGGAATGCTTTATACATTTTATACAGTTGTTGGGAAGTGAATGAGAAGCAATTCAAAATCATCTGTTGCTTTTCTATGATTTCACAGGAGTAGCTAACACAAATGCTGACCGGCATCAAAAAGAGCCTTTCAATGCTTGCTGAATGCATCACAAATGGCATGAATGGACTTGGTAAATGCATGGAACCCTATGTGTACATGTGAGCAGCAATGCTTGCTCAATACATATGAAGGCTTTGTATTCTGCTTTTATAGTGGTTGTGATTTACTGAGCTCACTCCCCTTGCTGGTCTATGGGCCGGCTGACTCAGTGAAAACAATGCACTCCCTGTGGCTGATTGTAGTTTAAACTGTATGTCTGTGCAAACCCTAAAAACAACACATACAGTAAATCTGCACATTTCCCAATGTTTTAACAAACACTATACATACTGAAAGTAACTGTTGGTCCTGGAGAAATGCAATCCGCTTCTAACTTCCTGCTGCGCTGACAAGTGTCACCTCTGTCTAGTACTTCCTGCTGGACTAGAGAACATCACGCCGATACCAAGTACCGGTGCCGTGTGGCCCAATTATCAGGAAGTCGGGTAGCGGATCATGACCCATCACCCGGCTTCCTAATTGCCTGTGAAGCCAGTATTCTAGTGAGAGAACGGCAGCTTCACTTGCCGAGGCTGACTGGCTTCAGGAAGCCAGGCAGCCAAGCATGAGGTGCCGTCTGGTTTCCTGATTGGCTATGAAGACGGCTTCACTTGTTGCTAGGAATGGTGACCAATCAGGAAGCCGGGTGGCATGTCATGACCCCGCTTCCAGATTGGCTAGATCTTCTGACCAGAAGTTCCAGTATTGGAGCATTTGGGAGAGTATGAGTACTCGCCAAAATACTTGGTATCGGTGCATCCCTACTGTTTAGTTAACACAATTCTATTACATTTATGAACTTAAGTTGGAGTATTCATAGTAATGTGTAAGAAGAAGTGAAGATCCTAAGATTTTATTACTTTATTTACAAGATCCAGAATACAAAAAGTTTTTAGACTCGTACAATTTGGATGAAGAGAAGCTGACTTCTACCCCGGAAACTTTGCTGGAGGAAATTGAGGCAAAGAATAAAGAAATGATAGGTAACATACATTTAAATATTGTTTCTTTGTGTATTCATTTCTGTTTCAGATTACACCTATAAGCAAAGACTGTCCATAAATTATGATTTTTACTAGCAGCATTCCCCCGCAAGGGTTAAAAAAATATTTTTTTTTTTTTTTTTTCCTGACGTTCTTCTCTAAAGAATTTTGTGAACATAAGTTCCTTGGTGTGGAGTTGTTTTATAAAGGTTATATTGTCTGTAGCAACCAATCACATTCTTTTAAGATATTTTCTTCTTAAAAGAATCTTAATTTGGGGTATTAATATATACAATGTTCATTCTTCCTTTACTAAGTTGACTAACTGTGTCTTTCCCCTTTGTTTGTTCATTGCTATATAGGAACAGGTTTGTGCTCTTTTGTATATAAAGCATGAATAAAGGACAGATATAAAATGTGGTCTCGTCTATAGCTGAACAAATGTTTGTGATCTGTTCACAGCTTATTTCCTCATATGTACTCGAGGGCATACATTAATTTTAAAAGTCAAGAGGACATCATGTTGTTTAGAGATCGTTTTGATGGCTATGTGTTCATCGATCACAGAGGTGAGATGCTTTGATTTTGTTTTTGTGTCCGTATGCTTATAATTTGGTCTCTTATTACAGTGGGGTTGTGTAATGGATTGTGTTTTCTGTGACAGGTCAGGAATATCCGGCAGTTGTGGAATTTGCACCTTTTCAAAAAGTGGCTAAAAAGAAAAGCAAGAAAAAGGATTCCAAGATTGGCACTATAGAGGAAGGTATGAATGTGCTTAGTTATAAGGGATCAGTACAACCACCGGTTTATTCCATCACTAATAAAGGAATCACGGTGAAGTCTAGTACACATGTCCACATTAATGGAAATGCAGAGTTTCATGATTTAGCTAAAGAGTTCAGTTTTTGTAAGTGCAAAATTCACACATTTAGCGGAACGGAATTTGCAGTCATTGATTCTGGGTTTTTTTTCTATGGGCCTGCTCACATGTGGGATGTGATCCGATGTTTAAGGGGCAATTTTATAAAGCAGCAAATCAGACTTTCACCAAACATTCACTGCAGGTAAATCTCCCGGGCGCATGTGTTTTAAATCATAGTAATTGATTTGTTACCGGTGACTGATTGGTGAAATTGATTTTCACTGCTTTCTTAATATGTCCCTAAGCGTCTGGTAAGGAAAATCTGTTGCTCAATAATGCAAATGGAAGCCATTGTTCATACACATTCAAGTTCAAGACCAGTTTTAGCTTGGTATTGCTGTTCTTTAATTTGGATGCTGCAAGCAACATTTGGCAGGTGTTGAAGCTTCTGAAACCAACGCCAGAAGCCTGTGGGAATGCTTTATACATTTTATACAGTTGTTGGGAAGTGAATGAGAAGCAATTCAAAATCATCTGTTGCTTTTCTATGATTTCACAGGAGTAGCTAACACAAATGCTGACCGGCATCAAAAAGAGCCTTTCAATGCTTGCTGAATGCATCACAAATGGCATGAATGGACTTGGTAAATGCATGGAACCCTATGTGTACATGTGAGCAGCAATGCTTGCTCAATACATATGAAGGCTTTGTATTCTGCTTTTATAGTGGTTGTGATTTACTGAGCTCACTCCCCTTGCTGGTCTATGGGCCGGCTGACTCAGTGAAAACAATGCACTCCCTGTGGCTGATTGTAGTTTAAACTGTATGTCTGTGCAAACCCTAAAAACAACACATACAGTAAATCTGCACATTTCCCAATGTTTTAACAAACACTATACATACTGAAAGTAACTGTTGGTCCTGGAGAAATGCAATCCGCTTCTAACTTCCTGCTGCGCTGACAAGTGTCACCTCTGTCTAGTACTTCCTGCTGGACTAGAGAACATCACGCCGATACCAAGTACCGGTGCCGTGTGGCCCAATTATCAGGAAGTCGGGTAGCGGATCATGACCCATCACCCGGCTTCCTAATTGCCTGTGAAGCCAGTATTCTAGTGAGAGAACGGCAGCTTCACTTGCCGAGGCTGACTGGCTTCAGGAAGCCAGGCAGCCAAGCATGAGGTGCCGTCTGGTTTCCTGATTGGCTATGAAGACGGCTTCACTTGTTGCTAGGAATGGTGACCAATCAGGAAGCCGGGTGGCATGTCATGACCCCGCTTCCAGATTGGCTAGATCTTCTGACCAGAAGTTCCAGTATTGGAGCATTTGGGAGAGTATGAGTACTCGCCAAAATACTTGGTATCGGTGCATCCCTACTGTTTAGTTAACACAATTCTATTACATTTATGAACTTAAGTTGGAGTATTCATAGTAATGTGTAAGAAGAAGTGAAGATCCTAAGATTTTATTACTTTATTTACAAGATCCAGAATACAAAAAGTTTTTAGACTCGTACAATTTGGATGAAGAGAAGCTGACTTCTACCCCGGAAACTTTGCTGGAGGAAATTGAGGCAAAGAATAAAGAAATGATAGGTAACATACATTTAAATATTGTTTCTTTGTGTATTCATTTCTGTTTCAGATTACACCTATAAGCAAAGACTGTCCATAAATTATGATTTTTACTAGCAGCATATTGTATCCAAACAACTGTAGCAGTAATCACATATGTAGATGTCTTGAAGGTCGCTCTGATTGTGCAGATAGTCATCAACCTTGGTCACAAGCTGGGTATACCCTGTTATATTTTCTTCGCTCAACCTGTGGGCTGACCAAAGAAAATATAACGGATTCCTCCATCACCGCTTACAAACATGGATGGAGTTATCCCCTGCTCTTCTGCATTGTATTCTGACAGCAGCTGTGGCCGCTGTCAGAATACCCAAACTGAGCTTGCAGCTCATTGGCTGAGAATGTTTCAACCTACTCTTCTGATCAGCTGATTGAGGGGTGCCGGTTGGAAGGGTGCCAACAGGGCACCCAGTGTGTGAATTTCAGGCAGTTCATCACGAACTGGCCAGAATTTGCACTGAGTATAGCCTACTTTATGCACTTGAAAATAAGTGTGTACAAGTTACAGCAAAATAGCATATCTGATGAGAATTGTTTGCGCTCCAGGCTGCTGGAATTGGATCTCTCAGTTGTGTGTGGACACTGAGCAGCTGAAAATGGACTTTTTGTAGCTGTATAGTTGTATGCTAGCATGGAGGCTTACACCTAGAGTTCTTGTGTGCCCATGTTATGACATGCTTTTTTTACTTCAGCCCCTAAGGTGAGGGAACACTTCCACACCCTCCACTGAGTTGGTGTTTATACAATGTTGTGCTATGCACATGAGTATGTACATGATTGCCCTTTCTTATAGGTTGGATTTACCTTTCATAGAATGTTGGTTTTCTAGCAGGGACCTTGTCCATTGCCACAGATCCTGGAGCCATCTGGTGAGATAGTAGACAGGAACTGTCTGCTTCTGGAAATGCTCACCCAAAATGTGTTTGCTTGACCTCCAATGCCGTTCTCTCTACACTCATCTGAATTATTAAAGTATCCAAGCAATATAAATGGCCAGACTTTCAGTCTACATGCTGGAAGAGATGACAGGACACACAACCAGGGTGTGCCAGATATCTTGCATGGCTGACCTCTCGGGATGCTCTATAGTAATTCTGTTAAGTAATACTTTAATATGAGGGAATTTCAGCCCTTTTTGCTATTTGTGTAATAGTAATGTTCCGTCAAACATCTGATTTGTATTTGTTCTGCTATTTGCTGCGCTGTAAAGCTTCTCATGTCTCCTTGATGATCATTAATGTCATGATATGGAGCCTCTAAAAAAGCATTTTCCTTTTATTTTTAGCCAAGAAGACTACTCCACTGTTAAGCTTTTTAAAAAATAGACAGGTATGTATTTTTCTGACCCTTTTACATAGATACAGTTTTTGTACTTATTTGAGCATTTCATTTTGCTTGTTGTAGTAGAGCTGAACGGTGGAGTTATTCAGTTGTAGCCTGTACTGAACAAGACTCTGCATGCTGTAGCTTTAGCATGGTTTGTAAAGAATGTTAAAGCAGACCTATTAATGACCACAGATACTTGCTTGCATCCTGTAAAAGGGTCCGCCAGAGTCCGGCTGGCTACTATCTTCACGTCATGTTTGAACGAGAGGCACAACTGTTGGTGCATTTGGCTCGCAGTTGCCCAGTTTTACTTCAGATATTGCAATGTTCTCTCACAAGACCCGATTCCAATATCCTTTTTGTACACACTGTTTCAGAGACTAAGAGATGAAAAGCGTGAAGAGAGAAGGAGGAGAGAGTTAGAGCGGAAAAGACAACGTGAAGAAGAAAGAAGGAAGTGGAAAGAGGATGAGAGAAGGAAAAGGAAAGATACAGAAAAGCAAAAGAAGTATGAAAAAACTCCAGAGAAAGAATCGGAAAGATCAAAAGATGAACCTAAAATTAAGGTATTGCCAAATCTTGCACAGAAAGTGTTTACATATGTAGGCTTTATTCACTCCTACAATTAAGGTGCGTTTTTTTGATTCCTGCAGCAGGAACCTACATATTCTTCCGGCGGTTAGGAAGAGAGAACGTTCCCTGCTGGATGCACGATCGATTCGTCCAGGGACAGAGATCTCTTACTAACCACATGTAATCGTGTCACATATGATTACATGCCAAGTGCCGGCGGACTGCTGCTTTCAGATGCAGACCCTGTCACCCGATCATTAAATTGCACAGGTGACAGTGGCCACTTGTAAAGGGCATATTTGGAATTCCTGCCACATGAATTTGTGGGTTCCTGCTGCAGGAATCCCAAAACGCACCTTAAATCTAGGTGTGAATAAAGGCTTAATCCGTTGCTATTGTTTAATATTTGAGAGATACTTATACAATTCTCTTCTTACTAGTATTACTACTAGCATTAAAATAATTATTTCTTTAATTTATATCAGAGTTTACAGGGAGGCATCTCAATGTGTTTTCAGGAGCAGTTCATGGTTATAAAGTCCTTCTGCCTTTTAAATAGCAAAATAAATCCTAAAGGATAAAGCAATCCATCTAGTACAGGGTATTGCTGGTCTTGTCGCACCATTTACATTAAACAACACTTTAGAGTTCACTTGCCTTGAGGTACATTTCTATACAGGAAATATTGGGCTTTGTGTTTGCCTGCAGCCACTACTCTTATGATTCAGCCTTGTGCTCTATAAGGTTGTGTAACCCCCCCATCCCTGCCTTAATGTGTTGGTGGGGTTGCATCTGGCTAAGAGAGAGCATGGTGCTTGAAAGTCGAGGAGCTACAGGGATCTAGCAAATATGGATGCTAGTTGAACAAGGAAAATGTTAGAATAAAAATTAAAACAATTCAGAGGGTGGGCTCTGATATCCCTCCTCTCCATTAATCTGTTTACTTGAAATGTTTTATTGGGTTAATTGTATAACTTTAGAGCTACCCACAGGTAAAATGTATCTGTAAAAACATTTTGGTTTTTGAAGATCTGGAACAGTAAAAACATCTTATTTGTATTCAAGAATACTCGGAATGTCCGGGCTCTTCTACTTCTTGCAGGCGTCACATGACTCGGCTATGTGTTTGTTTCATGTGTATGGTCCATATTCCTTACTTTTGTGCTAGGTTATTCTTGTTATTAAGTAGCTGTTTCTTCCTTTTTAAAGCTGCTTAGGAAACCTGAAAAAGATGATGAGCACAATTCAGAGAAGAAGTTTAAGGGCAAAAAAATAGAGAAGGAGACTGTGCGGGAAGATCGCAGCTCAGCAGGAAAGAGAATGGATGGTGACCACGGAGAGAAGGGCAAAAGGTATGGTGTGTCACAGCTACAGATTGAGAATTCTCTCTGAATACATTACAACTTTACATATTTCCTAATGGAAAACGCATACATTATATCTGCATAAAGACACGAGGCTTTTGTCTTGACAGATGATCTTGTTCTTAGAAATGGTACTGCCCTTCTACACGGATTTTCGTGGTGTGGTTTCTGTATTTGCAATCTGTGTGCCCCCCCCTTACAGCTGAAATATGCTAATATTCACAATTGCACATGCATAGCATAGCATTGTTGTAATAAGAGATCTGAGGATTTGTACCTCTCTACATATCCTTCCCACTGAACTCCAGAGGGATCCCTATGTTGTCCTGCCTATGGCTTTCTTCGGGGGAAGTCTGATGTGCACTGAGAAATGATGCCAAACAACAAAACCAAATCTCTGATTGTAATCTATAAAATGTTTGCAAATATATAACTTTTTTTTTTTTAAACTTGGCGTCACCAAAGGGCACTAGTGTGTTTTGGTTGTTGTCAAAATCTCCTAATTTATCCGGAAGGAAGTACTTGAAATGAGAATACTGTATTTATTTAAATTGTATTCCTTTTTTCTTTAAATATTTAGATGTGAAGATGAATACGTAAAAGATTACAGAGACAAAGATTACAGAGACAAAGATTATGAGCAAGAGCGGCGTACAAGAAGAGAGAAAGAGAAGCACCATTATGAAGAAGAGCGCAGAAAGCAAAGGGATCGTTATGAAAAGGACCGAAGTTTCCGGAGAAGAGAGGATGACTACAGGAAGGATCGGGAAGTGGTCAGAGAGAGGACAAGGAAGGAGGCTGGTGAAAATCAGCAATCTACTGATAAAAGTGAGCGCCAGTCCCGAGAGGAGAAGAAAGAAGATGCAGCCAAGAGAGATCGGATAAGGAACAAGGTGAGACAATGCCTTCTCAGTCGAGTCACATTCAATAATGTACACTTGTGCTCATAGGTTTACATACCCTTTATGATTTTATGATTTCCTGGCCATTTTATGATTTCCTGGCCATTTTAGAATGTGAATGATAACACGAAAACCTTTCTGTCACTCATGGGTAGTGTTTGGCTGAAGCCATGTATTATCAATCAACTGTGTTTACTCTTTTTCAATCATGACAACTTGGACATTCCAACATGACAATGATCCTAAACACAAGGCCAAGTCGACCTGTCATTGGCTACAGCAGAATAAAATGAAGGTCTCCTGACCTCAATATCATTGAGCCACTCTGGGGAGATCTCAAACGTGCAGTTCATGCAAGACAGCCCAAGAATTGACAGGACCTGGAGGCTTTTTGCCAGGAAGAATGGGCAGCTTTACCATCTGAGAAGATAAAGAGCCTCATCCACACATACCACAAAAGACTTCAAGCTGTCATTGATGTTAAAGAGGGCAACACACTGTATTAAGAACTGGGCTATGTAAACTTTTGATCAGGGTCATTTGGGTAGTTTCTGTTGTCATTATGATTGAAAAAGAGTAAACACAGTTGATTGATAATAAATGGCTTCAGCCAAACACTACCCATGAGTGACAGAAAGGTTTTTGTGTGATCATTCATATTCTCTGAAAAATGGCCAGGAAATCATCAATTCTGCCAGGGTATGTAAACTTATGAGCACAAGTGTATAAAGAGGTGGTTTAAGTAGCACAAGTATATGGCCAGTCACCTTACAAGTCTCAGCTGGCTGTAGGCTGCATGTACTGTTTACCAGCTTTTGAAAATGGGGCTTTTGCAGAAGAAAAAAAACCATCTATTTTATTTTACAATTGTGCTGCTTTTTAACATTTTCTCTCCTAATGAAAGCAGTTAAAAGCGCTTAGTTAAAGAAGGATATATTTGTGTTTTTTACTCATGAGAGGTATAACATAAATTTACTGGAGAAAATATAATGAAGGGAATTTATCAAAACTGGAGCAGCTGTGCATGGCAACCAGTCAGCTTCTCTCTTTCATTTTGAAATCTAAGCTGAACAAACTGAAAAGAGAAGCTGATTGGTTGTCATGCACAACTGCTCCAGTTTTGATAAATTCCCCCAAGTGTTTCTGTTCTAATGTATCAAACGTTGCAGGATCGCCCAGCAATGCAGCTGTACCAACCTGGGACAAGGAGCAGAAGCCGACTAACGCAGTGCGACGACGAGAGTCCAGCCAAATCCAGCGATCCGTCCGAGAAGAAACATGAGGGTGAGACCAGTGATCAGCAAAAAGAGGAGTAAGGAACTGGAAGATGTGAAGTGTCCTGCCCGTCATGACAACCAAAGAAAACAAACTCTGCAATCCAGAAGTGCCTTCACCGAGAAGGAGTCAGGAGCAGGCATGAGGTGTCCAAAGACGGAGGAGCGTCTTTGAGGGCGGTTGCAAACGCAGAGTTTGGCTAAGAATCCACCATGGATTTTCATAGCTGCAAGACTGCTGGCAGAATGTTTAGTCCTTAGTGCTGTAGTGTTGGTGGTAAGAGGGAGAGCATGGTGGAAATCTTCAGTTTACAATATATTGTCTAGTGGCCTTAATGAAACATGAGTCCTCCATTCCTGTACTGGCTGAAGGTTATTACAGAAGAGTATTTTTGAATGTTATTTCAGCGCAGTATTACATTGGCTGTTTCCATAGAGCTTGCCATGTATTTCAGTTTTGCAGTGTAGGTGTTGAAGATTTTTGCTTTGTATTCCTTTTCTGGAGTCCAAAATAATCGCTGCTGTACAATGCTGAAAAGACTCAGAACAATGCTGTAATTTTTGTTTTTCCTAATTATTTTCATACAGATCTTTATTATAACAGATGTCTAAGTTGGTAGATTCTCAGACATATGACAGCTTATTTTATCATGTCTGGAGCATATAAAGAGTTAATTATCCTCTTATGGAAATGTAACCTAAATGTTTTCTTAACTTTTTTTCTATCAAAAATAAAAAAAAAATACTTTCACTCGAAACTGAATGTGTTTATTTCCTCTAAAGTGAACTGTCCAGAAGGTTGCCACTTCATTCTTCATATTGCTTCAAAAACAAAGACGCAGATGTCTAGTCCTCCTAGCCTATTACGCTGGCCATACACCTGTCAATTTTTTTTATTTCGTGCAAACCCGTGGGTCGAGCGAAAACAATTGACGCGATTCCTCCAACAAAAAACAGCGTGTCGATCGGGGAAACGACGCTGTTTGCATTGTATTCTAACAGGTGCCACCGTCCCCTTTTGGAATACCCGATCAGCGCGGGCAGCTCATTGGCTAACCAGCTTTGATCGCACAAAGATTTTCCAGCAGGCTCCTTTGATCAGCTGATTGAGGAATGCCGGCTGAAAGGGAGCACACAGCCCCGCAAATTTCGTCCTGTACAGTAAAAACCGGCTGAAATTCAGCCAGTGTAGTGCACCTTTAGGCTAGGGCTATGTGGGTGCTATTAATAGATTGCTACTAAGAGTTAACCTTTTTGACTACTCATTAGCAGAACATTAAAGGAGAACTATGAGGTGAGTGAAAATCACCCATCCTCATCGTTCGAGTCGACGCCTTGTCACACGTCGGCTCAAAAGATCGGGAAGGGAGCGAACACATAACGCCGCTCGCTCACGTCTCGATCATCTCCCTGGAGAGAGCTGTGACTGTCACTCACTGCCGCACCCCCCCCTGATCCGATCCGATCCTCCAGTGCTGACTGGAGGAAGGGACGGGAGAGGGCGTGGGTACAGCTGTAGCTGTACAGCTCTAGATAGGCAGAGCCCGCTGTCAATCACGCAGCTGGGTGGATCTCGACAGTAATGTCTTCCCATGACCGTTAAGAGAACTATGGGGAGAAAACACTTGCCACATAGTTCTCTTAAATTACATGTGTTGCAAATTAAAGCCGCACTAAACTCAGGAGTTAAACCTTAAAATCCATTCAAGTACCTTAACTATTAACAAAAATGTATCTTTGCATGGGCAAAGCAGTGGTTCACTTTAATGATGCCAGAGCCTGCAAAACTCATACCTTACATCAGGGATAGCCAACCTCGGCACTCCAGCTGTGGTGAAACTACAAATCCCAACATGCATCTGAAAGTTGTGCCCATTGCCGTCAGTCTTGCAACACCTTATGGGACTTGTAGGTTGACCAGAGCTTGAGTGCAGAGGTTGCCTACATGGTTGCAGCCTCAATACATCCAATGACAATAGGTGCTTAAAGGAGAACTATGAGGTGAGTGATTTCCACTCACCTCATAGTTCTAGCCGACCTGTGACAATGAGACTGTCACAGGTCGGCTCAGTAGATCGGGAGGTGAGCGAACACATACCGGGTTCCCTCACCTCTCGATTCGGGAGGGAGGCAACCCCATACCGGGTTCCCTCCCCTCTCGATCCTGTCACGGCTCTCTGCCGTGACGGGGAGGCACTGGATTCCCCCCTCCCCGCTCCGATCTGCCAGCGCTGACTGGTGGAACGGACGGGGGAGGGGGCGGGTACAGCTGGCTCTGCTCTAGATAGGCAGAGCCAGCTGTCACTCACACAGCTGGGCGAATCCCGTCATCTACGTCGGGATCCGCTCCGGCGCCTCAGTATACTGAGCTTAGGGTAACGGGAGGACGCTAGTTTGTGTCCTCCCGTTACCCTAAGGAGAACTATGGGGAAAAGCCCTGACCCCATAGTTCTCCTTTAACTACAGTCCACTGAGAGGCTGTGCTGGGTGTAGCATTCCCAGAGAGAAGAAGCAGAAACCTATTCTGGCTAATGGGGGCTATGTATTTCTACCAGAGCACATTTCCAGCAACTGGTCGACCTTTTTATACTCTGAAGCCAGATTCCTTGACTAAACTCTGACAGGAGAAATAGATGACTTACTGGCTGCGCTGTTCATAGCATTTGATGGGGTGCTCCCAATGGTATGAAATATTACTGCAATTAGCACCATCGCGGAATACAGAGCATGGTCCACATTCACAATTGAGTGTGAGCAATTTCAGGCTTGAGAGATGGAAAGCTAGTAACTAGGTGGTGGAGATGGTTGTTAAAAATTAGATGTTGCGTTAGTTTTTAAAGTCTATGGGGTCAAAAACACGTAATTGTGCCCCAAAAAAAAAATCTGATGTACAGTTTTGAGCTACAAGCAACACAATCCTCAGGTGAGAATGGGCACCATTGAAAAGAAGGGTATTCTTCATGTGGAGCAGTATCACCCTTCGGGAAAGGCACAACTAAATGTTGAGGTGCGAATGAGGGCTAGGGTACTCCTAGCTTCTAATGTAACCCTGGACTGGATCCTTGCTGCCCAGTAGCATAGCAGGTAAATCATACATAGAATCCTGAAAGCTGAACCTCTAGGACACAAAAACTTTAAATATATTCCTGAATGGCCACAAAGGATATAAATTCCCTTTGTGTGCACAAAATGCCTGCGCAAACCCAGTTATCGCTTTGTATAAAAGGCAGTGACATCATCGTTGTGCTGTACATAGGCTGTGCAGGGAGCAGAGCTGTGGGAAGGACCCGGCAGGCCCTACATAAGGGGGGCGGATACATGACCGTTTACTCTGCTCAAGGAAAAAAGAACAGCACTGACCGGTCTTTATTCCAGGAAGCTCCTGCACAGAGGCAGAATTTCCCATTGGAACACTGATCCGGAACAAATACACCAAGCAAACCAAGGTTCCAGTGAGAATACGCATGACTCTTGTATTTAGCCAATAGTTGCTGATTCGGGGTTCAGCTGAGCAGATACAGGGCCAGACGTTTGGAGGTGGTGCTCCCAGATTGGTAAAGATGGCAGCCTTTCGTGGTTTGGTTGGGTTTGTCAGTGCATTCCAGAAGTGCTTTACAGGGGACCAGTCAGGAGCTGGAATATATAACAATGTGGGTCTTCTTTCTGTCTCCAATCTGTGTAATAATGTTCCTCAGAACAAGGCTCCCTGCTGGGCATGCGTTCATAAAAGTCCAAAGGCAGAACCTTCTACCAGTCCTGTCATTGGCAATCAGAATGGTTCTTGATTATATCATCACTAAGACCGCTACAAGCAATGGCTGGCTCCACGGTCCAGAGATCTGCAATGTGGTGGAGTTGTAAGGCATGGCACCACCAACAAGTGCCCATTAACACCAACCTGGTGTGTAAACACATGCGTTATGCTTTGTTTTAAGCAGATTATCCCTTGAAGTAGGGCTATCCCCGCCCTGCAAGGGTTAAGTGCTTGTTTTGGTCTAGAGCTGAAAATAAAAAAAGTTATGCTCACCCGAACCTCAGAGCCGGCCGGATGTGACAGCGCTCCTTCCAGCTTGTTTCCTCTTCCACTGCAGCAATGGAATTTCCCTCAGTGTCCTAACGTTCTATACACTGCGGGGGGATATTATCGAAACTGGAGCAGACAGAATCTGGAGCAGTTGCCCATAGTAATCGATCGGCTTCTCTCTTCTGTTTAATTAAGATTTGAAAATGAAAGGTAGAAGCTGATTGGTTGCCATGCACAGCTGCTCCAGATTCTGTCTGCTCCAGTTTTGTTCCATTCCCCTCTGTATATAGGACATGACTCACAGGACCTTAGATCACTGCAGTGAAGGGAGAGAAGCTCCAGTGACCGATCTAAGAGCAAGCCACCTCCAAGGATTGGGTGACTGGTGAACTATAACTTTTTTTTTTCCTCCCACACAAAAACAAGCACATAACCTCTGCAGTGCTGGGATAGCCCTACTGCAAGGGTTAATAATAATTTCCCCCAGAGTTCGGCTCTAAGGCAGCCTATTCAAAATGAATGGGCTGCCAACGCACCAAAAATGGTGCTTGCTGCAACACACATTCAACAAGGCGCGTTGAGGTGCCACATTGCACCACTGCATGTAACATGCGTTGTTGCAATGTGGTCGTGTGAATACATCATCTTGTTTTACATACTGAGCTTAGTTCACTGTGCAGCACAACTCTTAGGGTTGCCATCTGTCCAGGATTCACCCGGACAGTTCGGGTTTTGAATGCTCTGTCCGGGTTTCATGGCAGCAGAAACCCGGACACAAGATGTCAGGCAGACAGGAGCAACCAAAATTAAGATAGGGGCTACTAGAGTGTTCGGGTTTCGCTTGAAGAAAAGGTGGCAACCCTAACAACTCTTAATGGCTGTATAGTGGCAATTCATGTGGCTAAAGGTAGATCTAAACCTTAACTGGGCATTTAGGTTGATAAAGTATTGTTTATTATAGATTACCATTTGTTCCCATAGAATACAGTTTTTACCCTTTCTTTTTTTTTTTTGCATCTCAATGCTGCTGATCTTCCCCAACACTTTTCAGCTTCTTTCTGTCTATGCGCATTCACTCCACCAGGTTTCATGGCAGCAGAAACCCGGACACAAGATGTCAGGCAGACAGGGGCAACCAAAATTAATATAGGGGCTACTGGTCCCCCACTGTACAGTCTCGACTGTGATATTTACATATTAATGGGTGGCGCTATTTACATATGAATAAGCCACGACTCCAAACAAATGTCAGCGCGTCGCTAGAGTGCTGGGGTTTCACTTGAAGAAAAGGTGGCAACCCTATCTGAGAGACAGTTGTCACCTGAAAACAGGAACAAGAATCTTCTCAGCAGGGTTTTAATGAAACCTGTAGGATAAAAAAAAAATGAAAACAACAACCATTGAAATGACATAAACATACTAAAGCTTATATGTGTTTTTAGTGACTGGGTAACATATGTGGTGCACAGTACCGGGAGCAGTTCCTCCCGCAGCCGCTGGGTGGAGTATCTCTACTCTCGGCCTATCTATAGAGCGCCTCCTGTTCACTCTATGGTTCCGCACCACTAACCTCTGCCCTGCGCCTTCCGGCTTCCTCTTTTTCACCCGCCATTGTGGTGACAGGGTCTCCCGGTTCACTATGGTGAGTGAATCTAGTGCAATCCTTGGTAGTGGGGAAGTATGGGCCTGTGTGTTGTATTGTTTAGGATTGATGGGGTAGTGAGCGATCGGTTTATTTTAATATTGGGTGGAATACCATAGTGATATGCCGGGGCAGAGGCCGCTCATGTCCTCTGTTGGTGCCGAACAATTTCCAACATGTCTGCGTCCTGTATATGTTACATCTAGGTGTACGAGGGCCGATGTACTGTCACCAATACACCCGGCTGTTTTTCCTGAATGTCCCAAACAGATGCAGCGCTACACTTTACCTGTTGTGGGCTCATTGACTGCACCATACACACAGAGGGGTCCCACAGTCATGTCCCAGGATGGGGGGGTCCAGCTGTATATATGTGGCCACCAACATCACATCTGGTTGTCATGGGCAACACCTTTTGTACGGGCAGTGTTTACAGCCTGAAGTCTGGACATGGCTTCCTGGTTTTACAGCTGCTTGTGTTAGTGCATCTAAGATGATTTTTTTTTTTTATAGCAGCTTTGCACAGAGTCAGGATTGGTAACCTCATTTATTTACCTGCAATTGGGGAGATGGACTTTTACATTGACCTGCCTTGCGGCACTGGGCTCCTAGGTTCAAATCTCAACCAGGACACTATCTGCATGGGGTTTGCATGCTCTCCCTATGCTAGCATGGGTTTCCTTCCATACTCCAAAGACATGCTGGTAGGGTAATTGGCTCCTGTCTAAATTGGCCCTGTGTGTATGTGAGATGGGGACCTTAGATTGTAAGCTACTTGGGGGCAGGAACTGATGTGACTGTGCACTATGTAAAGCATGGAGTACAATGTCATATAAATCCCTGTATTAAATACCAGATCGGGTGACACATTTGGGGGATTACTCTCTTGTTTCAGGGATTACTTGTAAAATCTTTTCCCATCACTTTCTGTTCCGTGACAATAGTCAACAGAACAAAGAGTGAAGGGGACTGTCACTAGTGACCACCTAGTTCTAAAAGCCTGATTGATTCACACCCTTCAATATGCTATCCGAAACGGGGAAAGCCTGCTTTATTATTGGTATGTATATAGTGCTGACAATTTACACAGCGCTTTACATAGTTGCACATTCACATCAGTCCCTGCCCTCAGGGAGCTTACAATCTAAGGTCCCAACATGTATACATAGGAGGGTCTATTTAGACAGGAGACAATTAACCTTCCAGCATGTCTTTGGAGTGTGGGAGGAAACCGGAGTACCCAGAGGAAACCCACGCAAGCACAGGGAGAACATGCAAACTCCATGCAGATAGTGACCTGGGCAGGACATGAACCAGTCATGGCTTTATATGCACATAGATGTTATAGGAAGGGCTCTGCATGTCACACTGTCCTCAGTAACAAACCAACCACTGGAATCCTAACGTTTTGATGCGCGTGGCTTATTGAAGCGTCAGCGTTATGTTGTCACACTTATTTGATCACACTAACCCTTCTCTTTTGCTTCTGTCCTGACAGTCGTCCCACAAGACCTTCAGAATTAAGAGGTTTCTGGCCAAGAAGCAGAAACAGAATAGACCAATCCCACAGTGGATCAGAATGAAAACTGGCAATAAGATCAGGTATGTATGAACCGTTCCCGATATTTCTCATCTCACAGACTGTGTGTTGTGCTAAGCCGAGCTCCAACAGCAAGCCTTGCTCGAGGCTCTGACCTCTCCTCCTCCTCCTGAACAGGGTTCTAGTTGCTGCTTGTCCCCATTGAAAAGGTTTCCCATCATACAGAAGGAACTGTCATGGTGCGGGCAATGAGTATTAACTTCTCCAAAATGGACATAGCGAAAAACTCTGACAGAAGTTCTAACCCTTCCCCCTCCTATCCAACATTAAAAGCATCTTTTCTATCGAAATGGAAAGTCCGGGTAAAACCCTGAAGTCAAATCCCCTCCAAAGGCATTTTAAACTATTGCAAAAAACCTGAACTATTCACCTTGGCCCCAGATTATGACACCGTCCTCCTTTTCTCATAATAGCTTTATTTCTTAAACACTTCGTAGGCGTCTTTGGGGAGCTTTCAGTTAAGTGAACTGATCACTTTTATGGAAGGTTCTTTAAGTGTCAGGAAGATTCCTGTAATAGCAAATGGTCTCCATTTGTATTTCCCCTGTGCAGTGTGAGGGAATGAGAGGAATTTGGATGTTTTTGGGAGCAAGAACCATTCAGTATTTTGTTTTTTAGCATTTTCTTTGTTATGTATCCTTGGAACCTTATGTTTGTCTCTTGTATTGTCTGTAGAACTAAATCAGGAAGGATATTCATATTTATGTCTCCAGTACAAACATTCCCCTGCAGTTTTTTTCAGTGCTGGTTGTACAATTTCTAACAATAAGTGGAGATAAACCAGTTGTGTTTTGCATAGAACAGCCTGTCAGATTCTAGCAGTATGGAGAAGTCTGATATATGAATGGCTCCCTCTCATATGAGGTGTAATGTCTGCATGCTCTAGAATGTTCCATAATGCTTGAGGTGCAAAAGTGTGATGATTTAAAGGAGAACTATGAGGTTAGTGCTTTTCACTCACCTCATAGTTCTAGCCGACCTGTGACAATGAGACTGTCACAGGTCGGCTCAGTAGCCGACCTGTTGACCAATGAGTGCTTGCAATTTGCCAGCAAATTCAAAAAAATGGATAAGGCTGGACTGTACAGGCGGAGGGTAAGGACTGAAAAGTAAGTATAGCCGGGGGGTTGCTGGGCCAGATTTGATTGGGTAATTTCATTTTCCCATATTACTTGGGAAAGTGAGCTGCAAAGGGGGGGGGGGGGTGATTTTCACTTTTCACTTTTCACTCATCCTCATAGTTCGAGCTGACGTGTGACAATGAAACTCACAGGTCGGCTCTATAGATCAGGAAGTGAAGGAACGCATACAGTCGCTCGCTCACTTCTTGATCCTGTCCCTGCAGGGAGGTGTAACTGTCACTCACGGCTCCCTGCAGGGATTCTCCACCTCCCTGATCCTCCAGCACTGAGTGGAGGAATGAACGGGGGAGGGGGCGGGTACAGCTGCCTCTAGACGGGCAGAGCCAGCTGTCAATCATGCAGCTGGGTGGATCTCGACAGTAATGTCAGGATCCGTGTCAGCTGCGGCGGTCTCCGTATATAGTGAGCAGAGGCTCGCGGTATACTGAGCTTTGGGTGACGGGAGGACGCTAGTTTATGCCCTCCCGTGCCCCTTAGGGGAACTATGGGGTAAAACACTGACCCCATAGTTCTCCTTTAATGCACATTGTGCATGAAGGAGAGTTCTTCTGCTTGGCTACCACAAAGTGGAATGGCGGCAGCACTCAACGCACACACACACACACACAATGTCCTTTGCATGCAGATGACTGTGGCAGCAGGGTTAGTTTTAACTTTTTTATTTTTATGTATTTTATTTTTTTTATGTATTTTTTCTCCCACTTAATTTTAGTTCTATCACATAGGGCTTAAAAACTCCTATGTGATAGTTTGTCGGTGACAGGTGTTCTCTATGGAACCTGCCCTCCAACACAGAACTGATGGCTGAGACAGGTGGCGCTGTGATCACAGCGCCATGTTTTCAGTGATTACACAGAGCAGATGAACATCTGTTTTTCGTCTGCTCTTCGGGCTCTATGGTGAGCTCACGGCTGCGGTGACCAGACACAATAGCCGCCGATCCTTTCATACAAGTGGTCTAATTAGATCACTTGTATAAAAACGAGCGGCGGCCCCACGCTGTACATTTAGCTCTGCTTGTCCGGAGCAGGGCTAAATGTAAATAAAAACTACTCGCCCATTGCCCGAAATTGCATGTCCCGGGCGTCGGGTGATAGGAATTCCACACCCCTGCTTTAATCTGATGATAATGTCTGGAATACATGCTGCTGAAGTTATAAATAGATTGGATAGAGATAAAGCATGCGTTTAATTTATGGTGGCCACAAAAAAATGCATATCTGTTCCCCAGGATGATGGGGTGTGAATGATCTACCAGTTCTTTCTGATTTTTTGGATCTGCCTTAGCTTTCGCCTAGAGTTAGCTAAGAATCTGTTGTACATACCCTTTCGTAGTTTGGATTACTTTTCTGTGGGAGGGAAGGAAAATCCAGCATGGTTTGTTTTTTTTGTTCTTCTGTATGTTTCCCTTTTCTACTATCCTTGGGGATTTAGCATATGCTTTTGCCATAATGAAAAATGACAGTTTTATTACCAGACTGTTTCTGGATTACTAGTGTAAAAGCAGGTCTGCAATTACAGTGCTTTTTCTTGGTAGAAGTGCTGTCATTATCCTGCTGATAATAACGATGTCAGCTTGTTTGTTTTCACTTGTGTGGAAACAAGTCAGTATTGACAACTACAGTTATGTATCTAGTTACCGCTGGTGTAAATCTCTGCGTGGACCATTTATTTGCTTATTTTTGCAATTTATGTATTTTAATAGGTATAACTCCAAGAGGAGACACTGGAGAAGGACCAAGCTTGGCCTGTGAGAAGCTCTGCCCATGGAAGCTGGGCATCCTGAGGGTTACTTGCCAAGACCTGATCAACACCTTATTATACAGTTATTTTGTAGCAGTATCTGCTGATTCCAGTGCAAATAAACATAAGATCTGCACTTCTGTCTGTTTCCTCCTTCTTAAATATCCAATGGAATAGAATTGTAAATGTCTTGGTATGATGGTCTTGGTTACAGTTTTGAGCATTACAAATTGGAAGTGGGTAGACTTGATCGTATAAAGAATCAGACTTAATATGCTGAAACTGAGTTGTCATATCAGTTAAGCCAGGAAGCCACTGTCCCTAATGTGAATGTCGACACTAAATTCCCCATCTCCCCCCACCAAAAAAAAAAGAAACTTAAATGTAATATATCATAGGCCATGTATCCAGTTGGGCTGGGGGCATACTTTCATCTTTCCAGCAGAGTAGTCGGTGTTAGCCTGTTGTGATTTTACTATAAGATGTAAAGCAGGGCAGACTGTCCACTGTCTCCCCCGTGTACTTTAGTGATGCAGCAACTGGTAGGTGAAACCACAGCCCATGGCAGAGGGGCCAGGTATCGGACCTACTTGGGTGGAGACTGGCGGTGTGACAGGTAAGTATCAAAACCTTTTTACTTTTCAGTTTATGTTATATGGTGACAGAACAGTGTTTGTTTCCTAGTTCCAGAAAAATATTTTTCATTTTCTTTAATGAACACTGAGCACCACCAACCAAGTATAGAATACTTCTTACTTTGTTCAGTTTGTACACTTGTGATTTGCAGATGACAAGTCACTGATAACTAGGGTGGATCCACTGTGATCTGGTACCATCCAGATAAAGAGTTTAGTACATTTGCATTCACACTTTCTGCCAACCACAAATTCCTGCAATGAGTAAGTCAAATCTGTAGGGTGTTTGCTGGTGTGTTTAGGCAGATGAACACTACATGTGTCAGAATGATAAATGAGGGCAAATTTCCCCAAAGGTGTGACAGGCAGTGTGTTAACCCTTTCCCAATCCATCCAAAACAAAAGTATAATTTGAAGCTGGACTAAAAATTTGTTCCAAATGAATATATCTAAAAAAATGTAACTTTCGGTTGCAGTGGATATCTGGAGGGACCCTGCAGGAAGTGAGATGAAATGTCTGCTAAGTTATCACTGGAACACTTGTCCTCTTTGAAAGATTTGACCTCACCCCCATTGCACAGACAGCCATGACCTTTGGTATATGCATCCCTTTATGTGATCACCAGGACAAATAGAGGGTTCATCTCCCCAGTGGGGATATAGCAATAAAATCCTGACTGGGTTCTAACCCTTCCCCACTATATCCAAAGCTAGATAAGCTTTAGCTCTGCAGACATCTTCCATGTGATTGATGCAAAGCTATAACAGATCGTCTTTTAGCATGTATCTGATTTAGTAGGTTGCATTCATTTAAAAAATAAAGTTGGAACTAAAGATCGTGCCTAAAAAAGAAATCTGAAGTTTTAGAGCTTGTTCACACCAGCCCTGTTGGTTAGCGTGGCCCAATGCATAGACAGAACATAGAAAATATTGCCTTATTGCTTTGGTTTACTCCAACGTGCTGTGTTTGTGTCCTGGCTTGTTTCATTTTGCCACAGCATGTTCCAACATTCTTTAACATTGTGGCACTGCTGCGCACAAAGATCAAATGTTTGCCCATTTGTGTGATTTAACCAACGTTGTCGCAGTTTCCTTCCTGTTTCTGTTCTGAAGAAAAAGCTGTATGTCCGTCCCAGACTGGTTTCTGAATAGGAGGGTCGGGTTCATTATAACCACCTAGTGCTCTGAGGAAAGTTGCAGTGTTGGCATCCCTTTAGTAGTAATGAAACCTTAGGGCAGGGGTGCCCACAAGGTCGATCGTGATCTACCAGTCGATCGTGTAGCAATCACTGGTAGATCGCCATGTCCTCTCCTCCTTTTTTTTTTTGCTTGCCTCAGGCGCAAAAGGAGCTGGCTACGGCTATGCTCCCGTGGTGCTCGTGCGGCTGCCGGCTGAACGGCTCAGTATAGAGAGCGGTAATCCAGCGCCTCATGTTACTCCCCAGACCCGCGTGTGTGAGCGTCTCCCTCAAGAACGACCAAGCGACCCTGTCAAAAGCCTTCTCCGCGTCCAAGGACAGCAGGAGAAGAGGCTGCGACAGGGAACGAGCTAGGTGTATCACATTGAGGGTCCTTATGGTGTTGTCTCTGGCCTCACAGCCAGGGACAAAATTCTCTTGGTTGCGGCCTACAAGGTCTGGCAGAAAAGGGAGCAAACGATAGGCCAGGATGCGGGTAAAAAAATTTGAGGTCCACATTTAGCAAAGATATGGGCCTGTAACTGGCACACTGCAGAGGGTCTTTCCCCTCTTTTGGGATGACTGTGACATGAGCTCTCAGAGAGTCACGCGGCATGGGTCTGTCCTCTAGGATGGCATTGAAGGCAGAGAGGAAACGAGCTCCCAACTGCTCTCGATAGTGCTTGTAGTACGGGAGGGTTAGCCCATCCGGGCCAGGGGCTTTACCCGGCTTCATGTCACGTAAAGCGCGATCAAATTCGGCTTGGGATAATGGGGCCTCTAACGCCTGACTATCGGACTCGGAAAGATGTGGCGCGCCGGAGGAGGCCAGGTAATCCCTGATTTCTGACACCCTCGCCTCTTGAGCAAGGGGGTTGTGCGCAGCTCGAAAGATGCACAGTTTAGTGAAGAATGAGTGGAAGTGTGCCGCTATGTCTCAGGACCGTGATGCTACCGCACCCGAACCCGAGTGGATGGACGGAATGAAGTTGAGTCCCGCAGGGCATTAGCAAGAATCCGACCGGCCTTGTTCCCATATTCATAGAACGAGCGGCGGGATCTGGCCAATTGGGCCTTCACTCTGTCCATCAGGAGCTCATGAAGTTCGGCTCTCGTTCTCACCAGGGATGCCAACGTGTCAGTATCTAACGCTGCCTTGTGGCGCAGTTCTAGGTCTCTAAGTTGGGCATATAGGGTATCAACTCTCTGCTGTCGTGCACGCTTGCGTCTGGCTCCCAGTTTGATAAGGGTACCCCTGATCACACATTTGTGTGCTTCCCACAAAGTCAGGGGATCTTGTCTGGGGGATCTATTTTCCCGGAAGTAGCAGGTCAGGTCCGATTGGACCTCTTGGGCAATGGCAGGGTCCTGCAGCAGGGATTCATTAAGGCGCCAGGAGAGCGGAGGTCTATGCTCACCCCCAACAGTCAGGCTTATATGAATGGGAGAGTGGTCCGACAAGGTCGATGTACCAATTGAGACCTCTGTAACAAGGGGGAGGGTCGCATGTTGCACCAGAAAGAAGTCAATCCTAGAGTACGATTGATGAGGGGCCAAATAGTGTGTGTAATCCCTACCCGTCCGGTCATTAATGCGCCAGGGGTCAATCAACTGTAAGTCATACATGGAGCGCTTGATGCGTCTCCTCTGTGAATGCGTGATCTGGGATAGTTCCCTAGACGAGTCCATGGAGGGGTAGTGCACCAGGTTAAAATCTCCTCCCATTACCCATAGCCCCTCAGCAAAGGACAGCATGCGGGACCACACAGATTCTAAAAAAGCCAACTGCCCTGAGTTGGGGGCATAGATCGCGGCAAAGGTCACCGTCCGCCCATGTAACGCCCCCTTGACCAGCATCAGCCGTCCCTCTGGGTCAGCATAGTGGTCAGCGTAAGTCCAGGACAGGGATCTGGCCAGCACCATGCTCACCCCTCTAGATTTTGAGTCAGGTGAGGGGGCATGGTAAGAGGTCGTGTATCTGTGGTTCCCCAGTTTCGGGATACGCCCCACCATGAAATGGGTTTCCTGTATGAAGGCCACCTGGGTTCTAGAGCGCCACAGCTCCTCCAGTAGGCCCGACCTTTTTCAGGGACTCGGAGGCCCCGGACATTGAAGGAGGTGACACGCAGTTCAGGCATGATCAGCCTCTCTAGCTATCGGCAGACCCGCAGTCCACTGCACCCAGGGTTAGCCCGGGCCAGGGACAACCAGGCGAAAAAACGGGGGATACACACACGAGACGAAGACACCAAAGCAAAAGAGACACAGGGAGGAGAGTGGAGGGGGGATCTAGCACAGACAAAGAACACTCGAAGGTGGGATTCTTCCTGACCTTCGAGTGGGGACACAACAGAAAACACGTAGTCAAGAACCAGCTGCACTTCTTACCGGAATAGTAGTAAACCTGCCAAGCAGGTGGGTGCTTGTAGTGACCACGGACGGCCCCGTGAACAATGCAGATCTAGAAAGGATTGTCACCAGCACACCAAAAGTTTTGAAGCAAAAAGTCCTTTATTGACAAATCGCCATCCAATACAACACAAAACACGACACGGGTGTTCCCGTGGATTAGCTCCAACAAGGAGAGGAAACACCCCACACTTGGGGGAAGAGGCTGAACACAGCAATGTAGAGTGACGCAGACCTGGGAGTGCTAAGGGGCAATAACAATCCAACCAACCCCAAAGCTATCCCCAGCTCAACGAGAACTTCCATAGTAAACACGTCTCCACATGAGCACATCAACTAGAACCTCCAGGGAGGTGCCCCTGTCCCACTGGCATCCAACGGACCCCCCAGCCATGTAAACTGTGCCCGACAGGGGCTCAATTTCCAGAGGGACACACGGAGCCTCAACATGCCTAAATGGCCCCAGGAACCAGGCAACAAAAACCCCCTCCTCCCGCATCCCCCAGCCGAGCGCATGGTCTGGCGCGGGCAGGCCCCAAACCCGCACAACAACAACAAGTCGGGTCCCCCTAGCAAAACCAGCGGGGTAGGGCTCCCCCCGCCACATCAGGCCACCGCATAGTCTCAACATCCCCAAGAACAGGCACCTTAGAGAGCTACATACCCCGGAACACACAGTCAATCATGTAAATGTGTATGGCCCCCACATAATCAAAAACAACACATGGCCCCTCATCCCGCTTTACCGGCACCATGAGTACATATAGTTCAAGTGGCCTGCGCCCAGTCCAGCATAACCACCAGGAGGAGCTGGGTGAGAACGAGCATACCTGCATATTTAGGCCTGGGCCACAGGAGCTGTCAATATACATATAACTGTGTAATACTGATGCTCCTAGGGTTAGGATGGA